GACACCGACACGACCATGGCCAATCTGCGTTTGTCCTGGATCATGAAGAAGGGCCACGGCATCAAATTGTCCTACGTGCGCGAGCAATACGAGAAGGACTATCAGCAACAGCTGAAGCGACTCATTGACGACATCCTGCAGTATCCAGAGACTTGCAGCAAAGTGCAGCTGGATCAATTGTTCTCCAAAATGCAAGTTTTCATTGTGGCTACCAACCATTTGGGCTGTCCCAAGAACCATGTGCTCCTCAAGCTGACAGCCAAGGCGCTGCACAGCGTCATCGGCCGCAGCGACCTACAGAACTATGTCCTCAAGAAGAAGTATCACAGGCAGGAGTATCTGAAGCGGCTGGCCGACACTGTCGCTGGCATTGTCATCTACAACAACGACGGACCCGACGGCGATCGCGAAAACGTTCGAAATAGTGGGTGCAGATAGACCTCAGTTATGTAGATTCTATCATACATTTGATCTATACCCTCATCTCTCTAGTAATTGGAGACCTGCAGATGGCCCAAGCCAATACAAATGCCGCCTTTGATGCCGCGCTGGAACGCCTCAAGGAGCTCAGCTCCAGGTGCCAGACAGCGATTAGCGAGCAGTTGCAGTTCGACTGCAAGGAGACGACGCTCTACTATGGCGTGGCTCTGGCCCAGCTGGATCGCATCAATCAATTCACCATCACGTTCAATATGCTGATGCGCTGCTTGGTTGCGCTGCAGAGCAGCTATGAGCACACGACGTATCTGCTGAGCGTGGAGACGGGTCGCTACGACTGTGTGGTGGCCAAGATCAACGCAACACTGGCTATGCGCACCTCCATTGAGTCCGAGTTGATATTTGTAAGTATCAGCTGGAGTTGCCCAGGTAGATCCTTGAAATATCTGTTGTTGCTTTGCAGCCGCACTTTGTCTACCTGGCCAAGGTCTGGGCGAATCTCAATCACTACTTCAATCACATCGTCGAGTTGAACAAGCTGCGTGAGCATGTCGAAGCCCAGATCACCAGTGGGATGGTGCAGCGGTCGAAGGAAACCATTGCGGAAATCCAGGAGCTGGCCAAACGTCACAGCGAAATGCGTAAATGCAGCTTCAATCAGCGCATGGACACATTGAAGAAATTTCAAACTGATGGCAACTTCTGCAGCCTCGCTCAGGCGGACATTCAGGAGTTCTGCGCCCTCGCGATGGCCGTGACAAACGGACTGCTCCTGCCAGCCAAGGTGGTGCGCAAGCTCTGCATGAACGTGGACATTAAGTTTGGCTTTCAGGACGAGACCTATGCCCGCATAGGGGAGCTATGGTTCGAGCGCTTCATAACCGCTTTACGACAATCAATCTTTAACAATGCCAACTTGGTTCTGCTCTTCCAATTGGATCATATACTGATCGCCAAAGAGCTCCAGCCAGTGCCCGCAGAGCCGCCAAAGACGAAGGATTTCATAGGGCAAACCGAAATGGTAGTTACGAACGACTTAAAGCCGGCCAATTGGATAAATGTTACATGGAATGCCTGGGACTACCATCGAGAGACAATACATCTGGCCGAGATACGCAAACGACAGACGCGCGATACCCAGTCGATGATCACTTATGGCAAGCGCAATGCACAGAACCAAACGTACAATGTGCGCCATCACTTGCGTTGAGGATTCACCTAGATTTGGTTGTCGCGCACAGTACATGCCCACCATGCGATTTACTATAAAGTAAATGTAGTCCTCCTTCCACACCAGTGAGTAGATCTCCTTCTTCTGCACCGGACGAAACGTGTTCTTCACTCGCATCCGCTCCACATCAAGTATGCCCACCTGCATGAAATTTATGTTAAATGTAGTTCAATCAATGTATGTGTGTAAATAAAGAGTTCGCTCAGTTCCACGTACAATGCCATCGGCGGTGCCATAGGCCAGCTGCAGGCAGTCTGGGCTCCAGGACAGGGAGTAGACGGCGCTGTTCACATGCACGCTCTCAATGGGTATGCAGCGGTCGCTCAACTTGGATATGTCGAACATTGCAATGCGTTTGTCCGAGCAGCCCAACACAATTCTAGAAATTTAGCCGAGATATGAGATGAGTTTACTTCCGTACGATAATAATCCGAAACGGACTTACTTGTTCATATCATTGGGGCATTCGGACATCGCGCGCACGCCGTAGGCCAAGCAGCCATAGACGGCGTTCACCTGCCCAGTTAGAGGATTCAATAGGAGTACACGACGGTTGCGCATATTTAACCAGATCTGCGGATATGCGGCGCTGGCCACGCAGGATATGATGTCCTGCTCGGAGCACTTGTGCAGTTGATCTCTCGTGATTTTGTAGCGACGTGATTTGGCCTCATAGCTTACGGACCAGAAACACAAATTGTTACGACTCAGGGAGACGATTGTGTGGTCGTTGAGCCAGTAAAGCTGCTTGGATTTGGCTGCAAGGAGATCATGTAATCTATAACTGAAATGTAGCTATCCAGCTGCTCACTTACCAGTGGTATTTGACTTGCTATAGTTCTTGGCGCAATGTTCACCCGTTCGCGTATTCCATATCATAATAGTATCGATGTCATTGATGGAAGCCAGGAGAATGTCTGGACGAGCAGGCAGAATCTCTGTGGAGCAGTAGCTCAACGTCTCTACGCTAGTTTGCTTGTCCAGGGGTTGGACGTTGGTTTGCAGCTGCTGCTGCTGTAGCTGCGGAGATTCGGTTGGGGCATCGTGCACCTCGGCTTGGTGATAAATGTGATGCAGCACCTCACGCTTGGGCTTGGAGGCTTCGCCATCGACAATGACAGCATCATCGCTGGACGAGCTAAACTGTATAACCTCCAGGCTGCCTTCGCTGGCGCTCTGCAACTCCTGCTGGTCCTTTTCGGAATTGTGGCTGCTATCGCTGCGTGGGCCAGTTGTGCCTGTTTGCTGGCAGTCCTGCAGCGTAACCTCCACTTGAGGCTGATCTTTGGGACCCTGGCGATGAGCTGCCAGTTCCACTTTCAATGACTCGCAGGCCTCCATGAAATCGAGACCCGCATTATTGGCTGGCTTCTCGAGGCCGACAAAATCACCACAATCATCTGAGGATTTGCTGGTCAAACGAGGACGCACGCTGGCCGGAGCACCAAACTCCGATTCCAAATGATCGTAGTTGTATATATCAAATATATCATCTGCCTCGGCTGCTTTTGATTTCGCAATACGCAATTGATCAGAGTCTGCTTGCGGCTCTTCCTGGTCCTGCTCTCGCTGTTGTTCCGGTTGCTGTGACATTTCCCGCCAGGCCAGGTAACAAATGCTGGCACTCCGGCCATGTCCATTCAATTTATGCACAATGTTCATTTCATTTAAATTACAGACTAAAATTGATCCACCTGAGGTGCCCACAGCAAATATATGCTCATCGTATGGCGAGCAGCTGAGCACGCTTAAATTATGATTCCGTTGCGATAGGAAGGTGGGACGTCGGAAATAGCTGTTAGAGGCGACGCAGTAGACGACCAAACTGCCTGCATCCATCGATAATATATTGCCATTGCATATATAACTCATTAGCACATTCAATTGTGGATGCAGTCGCGCATCTCGTGCCTCATTCGGACGTTGATGCGCCGTATGCCCTTTGATCGCCACGCCCATATCACAATCCCAGACGAGAACGCTCCAATCCTCACCAACAATGGCAAATTGCTTGTCATGAGCATTTGATACAATTTCTGATTTATGCTGTTTGCCCCACAAGGGGCTGACATCGAGTCCACTGATGGTGATGCGCGAGGACATGGTTTTCACTTCTCGATCCTTCGCATCCACAGCCGGTATATAATTGATGCATTTAAAGCCGCTGTAGAGCAGCCCGCCATCGGGCGTCGCGACTGCAAGCGGCGTTTGTACGCAGATTGGCGTCGGCACATTATTGATAATTACTGCCCGTTTCATACTGATTTCATTAACTGACAGTTGAGAAAAGAAAATGGAGAATTTTTACAGCGGATTGCAAATCAGCAACTGATGTTCAGTTCTTCCTCCTTCCGTTTTGTCCTCCCAAACTTTCCAGCACTTGTTATCAAATATATTTTCAAAGGGAATCATCCTTTGGTATTTTTGGTTTGGTATTTTTAGTTCATTCATTATTTAATGGCTTGATGCAGCTGGGCACACTGTTTTTAATCACATCTTTTATTGCGAATGGTAATACGCAAAAACATATACAAGTTGTGAAAATATTAAAAATTATTTACTACAGGGGATACAAAACTTTAACTATGGATTCCAAACGTGAGAGAAAGTCGTCTTTGGTAAGTACATAAATCGTTTAGTCTTGGTAGACTTGTTTTTTTTTTTTTTTTTTTTGCTCTGACCAACTTCCATTGTTTATGGCAGGCTCCACTTTCGCCATGTCCGATTCCAGACATAACGGATGATGAATTGGTGACGATTTCGGTGCGTGATCTGAACCGAACTTTGAAAATGCGTGGACTCAACCGGGAAGAGATTGTGCGCATGAAGCAACGACGTCGCACGCTGAAGAATCGTGGCTATGCGGCCAGCTGTCGTATTAAGCGCATAGAGCAAAAGGACGAATTGGAAACAAAAAAATCGTATGAGTGGACGGAATTGGAGCAGATGCATGAAGACAATGAACAGATACGCCTAGATGTTAACAACTGGAAGAACAAATACAAAGCGCTCCTACAATTTGCTATTCAAAATGAAATACCTATCCCAAGCGAACTGGAGGGCTGTTGAGTTCAAGCAATGGAATTACATTAAAATTAATCGCATTCCTGTTTCAGTTTTAAAATAAGAATCAAAAACAAAACACCTGTAACCATAGTACAATAGCTGGAATTTGATTTGTAACGCACTTAAACTGAATTTAATTTTTAATAAACATTTGTATACGAACGATTTGTTCAGACACTCTGTTTGAAATATCACAGTGAATGTCAACGTAAATACGTGAATGTCAAAAAATTTAAGGGAACAGCTGTATACGTATGTATATTATTGTTATGTATTCATTTTAAAGACGCAACCTAAACTCATTTTATATGTATGTACATACATATTTATATGTGCTAGCGGTGCAACTTTTTTTCACCAAACATATAAAAACGCAAAACCTAATAAAGGCTACACAGAACTAGACACCAAACCATGCCGTCATGGCATTCCGTCGCTTTGGTAAATCCCTGCTTTATGGCTTGCCGCTAGGCATCACGTTCCTCGATTGCGTCGGATATGTGGCTAGAGTTGACGGTAAATTCAACAGTGAATATTTTAAAAACAATGAATGGTTCATTAAGCTTTTTTAATTTCAAGGCACTTCTATGCAACCCGCACTTAATCCCGTGGCAGAGGAACGCGACTACGTATTTCTTTTGCGCTGGGGCATCCACAACAGTGCTGTGGAACGTGGCGATATAATCTCACTAATCTCCCCCAAGGACCCCAGTCAAAAGATTATCAAACGCGTGGTGGGAATGCAAGGCGATGTCGTCTCCACTCTTGGCTACAAGCACGAGATTGTGCGCGTACCAGATGGCCACTGTTGGGTCGAGGGTGATCACACGGGCTACTCTCTGGACAGCAACACCTTCGGTCCAGTTGCATTGGGTCTGATGTCCGCCCGAGCGGTGGCCATCGTTTGGCCACCAGAACGTTGGAGGATATTGAAGAATGAGCTTCCGCGACGAAGGCGACCGGTGCAGGTGGCTAAGGCCAATTACTACAACTAGGCACAAGACTGAAGAAAGAGACAAAGCTGTTGGTAGCCGCTAAGTAGCCACATACACATACTGTTTGTACATATATATATTTTATTATCGGTTTTGTGTTCAATTGGTATCGTTCCTTTACGCAAAAATAATGTTTCAAAATTTTTAATGCTGTAGGACTATAAATCTTAATAAACTAGATACCATTACATTTAACATGACAAAGTTCGCGGTCACCGCAAATTCTAATTAGAAATGAAAATGGTTGGAAATTTTGCTATGCTTAGCGGATTTTGAGCTCTTGTAACAGTTGTAATTTAAAACAGCAGCTGTAGTTTATATAATTATGTAATTAGATTTTGGTTGACATAGCCGAATTCGTGCAGCACTGAAAGTGTCTGTTTGAGGGCCACTCCAGCGCGTACGATTTGATAACAGCCCGGATTGGCCAAGTCAATGACTGTAGAGGCCAACCGTCGCTCCTCTGTCTGACCGATGCGACCGGCATCAAAGATGGCGCCCAGCTGCGGCCAAAGCGCCTGGAATTCGATGATTTCCAGGCTACTGGGTGCACTGGAACGATTGGCGCTGGTTAACGCCAAGGGTTGCTCGTGCCACCTAGCACACAAATCCCGAATGAACTGGAAGTCGGGTATGCGTATGCCGATTTTGCTGGTGCTCGGGTTTAAGTAGCGATTGCTCAGATACGGCGTACGCTCAACGATGATGGTCAGTGGCCCCGGAAGCAGCCGAGTTAGCAGCTCGTCACTCAAGTGGCTCGCCTGACCATAGCGACGCAGCGCAATAATATTGTTCACACAAATGGCCACCGGTTTGTGTTCGTCTCTTCCTTTGATTTCGTACAGACGCTGAATGGCCTGCTCATTGTTGGCATCGCATGCTAAGCCATAAACTGTGTCTGTGGGCAACGCAATCACCTTGCCCAGCTGCAGGCATTGTTCCGCCAGCTTTAAGGCATTTAGCGACTCCGCCGAACAAATTGGAGTCGCCTCTACTTGTTGCTTATGCATGCTGTTGCTGCTGCGAGTCCCTTGGAGTCGCCTTATTAGTAGCTTTTGTAAGTAGCGCATCAGTTCTAATCTCTCCAATTGTGGCCGCACTGATGATTACAGCACTTGTAGAATGTCGTCATAGGTTCATCCGCTGACCTGGTTTGTATTTGCATGAAGTAGGCGCGTTTGTGTGAGCAGGCCGGGCATTCAGCATCCGTTGAATCAACGTTCTCCCAAGCCGCAACGCCACCCAAAACGTGATCAACTTCCTAAAAGAAATGAAATGTAAACAAGGTTGGAAAATTGTGCTTTTGCAAACCTACCTTCAGACGTGGGTACGTTTTGGTGGTTATCTTCCGCTTGATTTTCGATATGAAAGGGCACGTGTTGCACGTGAACCTATGGCTGGACGTATCTTCTTCAATAATTAATATATTGCCACAAGACGGGCAGAAGAACAACATTGCGAAATGCGAGCACGTTTGATCAACTGCTAAGTTAACAGACTTTGCCTGCTCGATTTAAACTGTTATCGATTATTCCATCTTAGGCAAATTTCATGTATAGTTGGTTTCATTGTAAATTCAATACATACAAAGATTGTGAGCTGTGAGATTGTTTGAGAGAAGAATTGTGTGGGTGTTCAGTATTTTAGAGTGCTCGATGACGTGATTAACGTGTCATCGGTTTGGTATGTTGTGGAAATTTTATCGGGGCTGACCCACAACTGCTAACTTAACAGAGCTCGATGGACTTTGCTATCGATATTATTTTCTGCAAACGTTAATCAACACCGACCAACAGCGAACACAAAATAAGCGAATTTTATAAATATTGAATGAAATTGTTAGATTAAGGCAAAAATGTCAGCTGATGTACGTGATATTTTAGACATAGAGCGTGCCAATACGCCCGAAATAACCCGAGACTCATTCCTTGCCACGAAAAAACGTAATTTTGAGCGGTAAGTAGAAGCATACAATGCTGTTTGAACCGCTTCTCTAACTTTTTTTTTTTTTTTCGCAGTACAAAACATGCTTCCCGGCGTCCGGAAGGAATGCACCGCGAAGTCTTCGCGCTTCTGTACACAGACAAGAAAGATGCGCCTCCTTTGCTACCGACAGACACTGCACTGGGCATCGGTGCGGGCTATAAACAAAACAAAGCACGGCTGGGCATGAAAAAGGTGCGCAAATGGGAATGGGCACCTTTCTCGAATCCCGCTCGTAACGATGCTGCTGTCTTTCATCATTGGAAACGTGTCAGCGATGACTCCACAGACTATCCGTTTGCTAAATTCAATAAGCAATTGGAAATACCCACATACACCATGACCGAATATAACGCGCACCTGCGAAATAATATCCAAAACTGGAGCAAGGTGCAAACGGATCATTTGTTTGATCTAGCTAGACGGTGAGTAGACAAAATACCTCAATAGGCATATACTCATGCTCATCTCTTTTTAGCTTCGATTTGCGCTTCATTGTTATGGCGGATCGCTGGAATCGCCAGCAGCATGGTATTAAAACCGTAGAGGAGCTCAAGGAGCGGTACTATGAAGTAATTTCACTGTTGTCCAAGGCCAAGAATCAGTCCGTTGAGAAGAAAACATTCGTATACGATATCGAGCACGAGCGTCGTCGAAAGGAACAACTAGAGAAGCTCTTCAAGCGCACCACACAACAGGTAGAAGAGGAGCAAATGCTGATCAATGAGATGAAGAAAATCGAGGCGCGCAAAAAGGAACGCGAACGTAAAACTCAAGATCTGCAAAAACTGATTTCCCAAGCAGATCAACAAAACGAGCATACGACCAACACGCCAAGCACACGCAAATACGAAAAGAAACTGCACAAGAAGAAGGTGCACCATCAGCCACGACCCTCCAAAGTGGATTCGGTGGTGAACGCCATCGAAATTGGCAGCAGCGGCATCAAATTTGCCGATCTACGCGGCTCTGGTGTATCGCTGCGTTCGCAAAAGATGAAACTGCCCGCCAATATAGGACAGCGTAAGGTGAAAGCGCTGGAGCAGGCCATACAGGAGTTCAAAGTTGGTAAGCTACGAAACTATTGCCGAAACAGACTAAATGGCGTTTGGATTAACTGAATAACCCCATCTTATAGATCCCGCACCACCACCCACTGAGGAAATATGCACTTCCTTTAATGAGCTGCGTTCGGATATGGTTTTGCTCTGCGAACTGCGCACTGCGCTCTCCACCTGCATCTATGAAATGGAGAGCTTGAAGCACCAATACGAGGCTGCCTGTCCGGGCAAGACGCTCAATATACCGCCCTCTTTGGTGCCCATAAAGAGCGAAACTTTGGAGCCCAATGCAAACTAGGCGAAAAGGCAGCTAAGTCCGCGGAAGATAATGCGCACGTCTCACTAATCAGCGCACGGACAATAACAAGAGTTGCACTTAACCCGTTTGCCACTCGCTATATTTGTGCATGTGCGCTACTCCCAGTCTAGTTGGTAGAATAAATAGAAAAAACAAAAAGCAAAAAGAAAACTGTGTTTTGCAGCAATCACAGATCACAGATCACACACGTATATATACATATATATATGTGAAAATCAAGTAGCCAACGGTCAAATGGAGTGTGAGAACTTTTTTCTTGCTGCCGCTAGCTGTGATTTATTTACCTCTTTCCATCTTTCCAGACGCTCATGGCCTTAGTTTTCTTCTCTTGCACGTATTTGGGTTACGCTCGCCTGCCCAAATATGGCTGGCATGCAATGGCATTTGGCAAACGCAATGTGGATATGAACAAATGAATGACTGTCTGACTGACTGTTGCCTGATGCTATTGCTGCTGCTGGCTGCTGGCTGCTGTTGCTGTTGGCTGTTGCTGTTGCTACTTGATGCGGTGGGTGTTGTTGCCGACTGTTGATGTTGCTCCATATAGCCTGCTGCCTGATGTTGCTGTTGGCCGTTGTTTGATGTTGTCTATGGGCTGTTGTTGCTGCTTGATTCTCTCAGATGTTGTTTGATGCAGCTGTTGATGTTGCTGTTGCTGCTTGAGCTGCCTGGCGGCTTTTCTAGCTGATTGCTGTTGCTGCTAGATATAGTCAGCTAGCTGCGTATTGCTCTTGCTGAATGCTGCATCGTGATGTCTGATGCTGTTTGATATTGCTGCTGGTGCGGTATGTTGCTGTTACTTCTGCTGGTGGTTGCTGATGTTAGTCTCTGTTGTTGCTGCTGCTGCTTGATGTTGCTGTTGTTGCGTGATACCGCTTGATGTTGCTGTTGCTTAATGTCTGTTGTTGTTGCTAGCTGCCTATGCTGTTGTTGTTGCTGCTCTCTGCCTGCTACTCGCTGCCTGCTGCCTGCTGTCTGCTGTCTGCTGCTTGGCTGCCTGGGTGCTGCCCACACGCAGCGAGTCGCACCGACTGGTCATTCAGAGAATCAGCTTGAGTCAGCAGCCGTCGCCGAAGCAGCGACCGACTTCTATATTTGTGAATGAAACAGACAGACGAGGCAATGCCGATTCGGCAAATGCGGAATCGGGTTTTGTTCAGCTGCAGCAGAGCTCAGTCGAGTTTCAGTCGTTGGCGCGTTTAGTTCAGCTAGCAGCTGCGGCGTTTACTTTGTATCTGTGTTGTGTGTGTGCGTTTGTTGGTGTTTGTGTTAATGTAAATAAACGCGTGTGTGCAGTGCAAAGTTCGTTGCTTTAGTCATTCGTTTCGTTAAGCGCCAAAGCAACAACGTGAAGTAAATGCAAATGCGAAACCCAAATGTAAATTGAAGAATTTTTGAATGGCCGTCGGCAGTTGTTGTTGAGTATCCTGCAGGCAGTCGAGTCGAGTCGAGTCGAGCAGGCAGTCGGGCAAACAAAACGTCTTTGCATCCGCTTCCGGCTCTTTGTGCGCTCGTCTTTTATGAATGAAATGCTGGCGCGTCATGTCCCTGTCCCTGTCAACTAAGCGACCCATTGTTAATGTTACCTACTAGAACGGGAGAGGGAGTGAGAGAGTGAGCGAGAGAGTTAACAAAAAAACCCTAACCAAGTGCAGCGTAAAGATCTTTATCGCATTTGCCTTCTGGAGCAGCAAGACAAGACAGCCAGGTAGACAGCTACAAAGAAAAAAGTAAAATACATTCGGTCAAGTCAAAGTCGGCTTAAATACATATATACATATATATAGAGAAATATATCCAAGTCAGCGAAAACGTCGCCTGTTTGACTGATAAATCGCTCAGCTTATCTGCTGTTTAAGTTTCGCACGCTGATAAATCGAAGTGAGAGCGAGAAAGAGAGACAGAGAGAAAGAGTGGGAGCTCAACTCATTCAAAATGTTGCCCAAACTAAGGTGAGTCTTAGACATTTATTTATTTACCTTTTAAATATATTCATTTATTTAAAGCCCGACATCTGTGCGGCATTTGTTGACTATATTAAATGAAATTTATTATATACGCTAGCTACGCCCACCTGATCTGCATGTCAAATGAGCCAATTAGAAATCGCATCTCTGATCTAGATTGCCTATATATACATATATGAACCATATACACTATCTGTATATAAATGACTTCTGCGTCTTCCATCGAAAGATCCGTTTATTAAAAAATGTTCTTAATTGCAAATTCGTGCTCTAATGATGCTTTTATTTCATTTCGATTAGGCCGCAGGCGCGGATATTTGTAGCTAATTATAGAGCTAATAGATTTACGGTCAGCAGAGGGGCTCAATAATTGCCATGTTAGCCATAGACGATATATATTTCGATAAGCTCAGCTTATATCTTGATAGCCTATATGAGCCTATAAAATTATATATAAATAGAGCCATAGAGATATGCCTCTGTAGTTAAAGCTATATATCTAAACACCAATATCTGATTGTATCTTTTCATCACTGTCTTAAGATTATTTGTACTGAACAGCGCATTGTAGTGAGAATATTGTTTATAAAGAGTATTTTCAAATACAATATATGCGCTATAGTGTATATCTAGCCACAATTTGTCCGCATCAAACTTGGCTGGAATGAAATATAGTTAGGGCTAACCAAGTTATATGTGCTATAATGCTAGGTCTGCCTCAAAACATATTTCAACTTCCTACTACTTCGCAGTTACTTCTTAAGTATTTCTCCTCTATATAAATAGTCTACCATTAGACTCACTCCTATATATGTATACATCTCATGCTTCCCCGCATCACATAAATATTTAATTTATAGCTTTTTACCTTTGTCACCGACACATTTATGTTTGGACGTTTGAACTCTTCATCTAATCTGTATGTGTATAAATAGTATTTAATTCTCCTATGAATTTATGTTTATAAATTTTGGATGCCAGCTTGCGTCACGTAGCGACGCCGACGACTGCTGTGGAAGCTCATTAAACGCTGCTAACTTTGTTGAACAGCCGCACTTCCGTTGCGGGGGCAATTATTGCGACTCCCTGTTGTCATTTACCCAAAAGAGAAAGAGAAAAAAAAAGAAAGAAAGAAAAAACCAAATTCAAAATGCGTTAAGAGATTTTCAAAAATTATCAACACACACACACACACACATGTATGTGTGTTGAAATGAAGAAAATGAAAAGCTAGGCGAATGAGTTAAATGTAATGTGATTGCTGTTGTTGTTGTTGACAGCATGAACAGCTCCGACAAGAAGTTTGTTCAACCTACGCACCTTACGCACACACACACACGCACACATAGCACACACACGCATCATAGTTTAAGCGCAATTAGCGCTTTGTCGTTTTGTTTTCTTTACATTTCATTCGTATACGAGTTTTATTCATTTTCTTGTTCAACTCACTCGCTCTTCTCTCACTCTCTCTGCCTTCTGCTGGCTTTCTTCTACAGTTCATAATTTTCACAGCATGCTGTCTGCTTCTTCTTACCAATATAAACAAAGTTTTTATTTTCATTTCATTTCGTACGCCCACAACGTAGCCGAAATTAAAGAGATAGAGCGAGGAGCAAGGGGATAGAGAAGTAAACGTACATAATTAATGTTTATATAATTTTTTGTTACTTAATTTTTTTATTTTTACTGCTTTACATGCGCTCATTAGCCGCTTGGTTTGCTTAGTCAACGTTGTTGGCTGGCTGTTGTTTCTGTTTCGGTTTCTGTTCTGTTGGAGGTAAGCTGGCATCAAGTTCGTTGCCTAAGTCTTTTGTTTGCCCAGCTGTGGGCGTCATTTATAAGCCGTCATTTTGCAGCAGCAGCAGCCGCGGCCGACAACTCTTCAACTGTGCTACTTGCTGGCCCATTGTTGTTAGCCAGTTGCTGGATGCTGTTGTTGTTGTTGTTGTTGCTGCTGCTGTTGCTAGTTGCTGCTCCACAACAAGTTGCCAAATTTGGCAACAACAACAAATGCTGCCCACTTCATATTGATAAGTATGTCGCACACACACACACACACACACACACACACTTGTATATGGGACACGTTGAATGTAACGCATCTCACTTTAACTGGACTTCATTTCAAATGCATTTCATTTCTCTAAGTGCTCTAACGTGTACTGAATCCCATAAAAAACAAAAAACTAATAAAAAAGCGTAAAATGTTTGTTTGGGGGAGACTAACTCAAATGACCTAAAGTATGTATTGATGTAAAAAACAAGTCACTCGATAGAGAGAGAGAGAGGGGGATACAATATTGTAGTACCTGTACATCATATACGAACATCTATGTATAGATCCGTTATTTTTAAACATAAATGGAGGATTACAAGAACTACATATATCAAGCTTTATATATACACTCTTCGAGTATACACTGCTATATATCTGATACTTTTCTTGCCTTCCTTTTAGTGTCTACTGGTTGAATATCTAACACAATGTTATTCACATAATGAGAAGAGTTTTAAATGAACATTTTTAATGTGTAATCTCTTATAAAAGAGCTTAGGGAGCATCTCTTTCAGCTCTCTTAACTCGTTACTTTCTGGATCTAAGCAGTTGTAGGGTATTTCCTAGTCTTGCACTACTCAATATATCTACTCTAGTTGCCTTTTTTGCTAATGAACAAAGCAGAGGCAGAGGCAGAGGCAGCGGCAGCGGCATCGGCAATTTCTCGCAGTGCACACACAGAGAGCTAGAGCCGTTCACTTAGCATACTCCTCCGCAGCATCCAAAACAACAACGACAACAACAACAACCGAGAGCAACAACAACGAGCAACAAGAATAGCTACAAACAGCATCTACAATTTCTTGACATACAAGTTGAGCGGCTGGCATTTTGTGTGTGGGTTTTTCGGTGCTTTTCACAGACTGATGTGTCGCTACGTGTGGGCTAACACAGAGCTATGCCTGTGTGTGTGTGTGTGTGTGTGGCATGTTAGCCGCATTGTCAGCCATTGCTTACAGATCGTACAATAACTTTAATTTGGTTCATTTGGAATCTATTTCCGCAATGCAGTGCTTATCTCAACCGAATGCCACGCCCACACATTTAAATGCCATTTAGAGGCAAATTGAAAATTTGGAAAACTATTTAAGATGCATACGCATTGATCAGTCTGAGGAGAGTTTCGTTTTTATTTGTTTTTCACCTTTCATTCATACAATTTTGACAGACTTTATGAGCTCTTCATGGAATATAAGTCTGCCTCTATCTACATACATGAGAGTGTGTGTGTGTGTGTGCGAGGTTTTGTGGCTTTGCTTTTTGGGCCTTGTCTTGACTTTCGAAATGTCGCAATTAACAGGCGATTTAGCTTTATGCACGTGCGTTGGCGGCGCCAACGTTTCGAGTGCTGCGTGGGCTGTGAACTTGGGTTGGTTTTCAGTCATCAGCTATGCCCTACCTTAGCCGAGCATATGCATATCATTATGCTGTTTGCCTGTTTGTGCAGCGCGCATGCAGAGGCCAAAGCTGCAGACGTGAGTCAACAGAATTTAGCAGATAATTGTATCTATGTATGTAGCTGTGCATGCAGAGAGGCTTTATAACAATTTCTTTGCTTATGCAATGTAATTTAATATTATATACATAAAGAAAGGGACTTAATATTTGAGGCATTACAGAAGAAACTAAGATAATATTCAATTTTGTATTCACTCAAGAGAAAAGAAAAAGAAAAAGTTTCTTGCTAATGATCCACATTTTAATGAGATTCATTTAAATATCTCTGGTTTAGCTTCAGCGCCATACAAACTTCACTCAAACAACAGTCTCATATGTACATTAAGAAATATATTGGCATAGTCTGGTAGTCTGGTAATCGTATTGATTTTTGTATTGCATAAATCTTTTTAAATATATATATAAATTATTCCATTACTCATATATATCTCATAATCCTACAATTTTAAAATTCCTCAAAAATATCTGAGTAAATATAGTCTGCGGCAATTGCAGCCAGTTTCACTAAGAAAAATATACATTTGTTTCTGTATCTGTATACACATACATATGTGCATATTTAACTGTGTCTGTGTATGCATTTAGATTAGTCTGTGTTTTTTCTAGCTTTAAATTACGGGCAATATTGTCAAGCGACTGCAAATTAGTTTACAAACTTGTTTTTCGATCTAAGCAACCACAACAACAACAACAACAACAACAGCAACAACAATTGGTAAACATATTTTTGAGAGTGGGCTGAGAAACGGAAATGTGTGGGTGTCTTCTGTCTTTTTGATTTGCGACTGCTGCCAAGCCGGTCGCAGCTCTTTGTTTCTTTTTTTCTATTTTTTCTATTTTTGTTTTGTTAGGCAAATTACTTTTTAATTGAACGAACACACACACACACACATACACCTGTAGCCATGGCCCCAACACTTGAACAATTAAAAATGCCTAATAAGTGACAGCAATTGAGAGTCAAGAGTCGTTCGTTGCTCGCTGCCTTCATTGTTGAGCTGCCAATATGGATAAAAAATTAAATTAAATCTTGAATGAAGAATATGATATAAAATAAAGGTCTTGCAGGTACTTAAACTAGCTCAAATTGAACGTTAAAGTTAAGAGAGAAGCTAGGCTGAGATCGAGCTGAAGAGATATTGAGATCCATAATCAAAGTCTATGATATCCAATGTCCGCTGCAAAACCTAATGCGAAATTTACTCTAATTGTCTCTCGCTCTGCAGACGTGCTGAATATACAATATTTATATATACAGCGTACGCCCTCTCTCTCTCTCTCTCCCTCTCGCTTCTGCAGCAATCGGACGGAATTTCAAATGAAATCTGAAATATATAAACTACAATAATACAATATGCATATATGAAATGCGAGGCAGCAGCAGCTGGTTAATCCCCAAGGCAAAGGTAAACAAACCATTTTTGAAATGGCTTTAAGCTGGCATTTGTCTGCAAGACCAATGACCAAA